CTTATTTGCTATATTTTGTATAGACCTTGTTTCCTTTTTTGAGGGGATATTTGTCGATTTGCTGTATCATTTTATCTTATGCGAATATTCAGTTCATAAGTGGGGGATTTTAAATATTTGATAGAGAACGCCTTGCATAGACATATTAATACGTCTATGTATGATACGAATTGTCAACTATATAAAATTTAGGTTATATTAAATTTGTATAAATCATTTGTTTACATCGCCTAGGTTAAGCTTACAGTGGCATAATATGCATATTATGTAAAAGCCAATAAAAATCTCGTAAACACAATGCCAAAAACAATTCCAAAACAATTGGTATACAACAGAAAACAAACAAAATGGTTCATTATAAAAATCCTCTACTCATTAATATGTCTATGATAAAAACCTTTTGGCTATCGTGGTTTAAATACGACATTGCCAAATTATTGCTGTTATAAATATGCCATTATAAAATCTAAAATATCATCATTTTGTGTTTATTATTGTTAAATGTTTTTTTTTTCATACAATTTATCTAGGTACAATTTATTAAAAAGTATTTGTTATACTTCCCAAATAGGGACAAGATATGGTATTTTTTTAACCGGCAATGCCGCCACGCATGCGACTCAATGCAATCATACGGGTATTTTCACTTCCCCTAGTTTAAAAGAAACAGTCTCAGTTAAAAATGAATTGTATATGTGTGGAAGTATGTGTTATTCCGTATTCCGGTGATACGTGCTGTAACAATTTAAGAAATATATGTAATTCCAAAGTGATATTAGAACGGTCATATTCCGTTTACTGGAAACATATCAATAAAACAATACATAAAAAACCTACTAACCTACTACATGGGATAAAAAAGTATTTGTACTATGTGGTAAGTGGACAAGCTTATGATTTTATTGTGTATCAAGGTTATTTGACAGGAATTGATGAAAATCTTCAAAAGAAATATGGCGTAGAAAGTGATGTAGTCTAAACTCTTCTTTGACAACTATTTTTCTTCTCACCTGCTTTTTGAGGCCCTTACTGATTTATAAATTTCTACATGAAAATTATCTTTCTACGAGAGACACCATTTTTAAGTTAAGGCCTTCAAAGATCATAATACTAATTATTACTGTTTTACAAATTATATATTCTTTTATCTAGTTTTATAAGATAATGTATTATATATTACATATTAAACATTATATATTACATATTTATTTAAAAAAATTAGTTTTATTTATAAATTTTAAATTTTTTCAAGTTAACTATTTTTGTTAACTATATATGGTAACCTACCATTGGAAGCATGAAAGATAATTTGACAGTTCAGTTTATAAGTTGCAAATGACTGATTGCGTTTCAATTTATAAGTGTACTATAAACTCAAAACATTAATTTATTAAAATGAATAAACTAAATAATAATTATAGACAGTTAGAAGTTAGAAATTATAACCTACTTTAATTTTATTTTTTGCTCCACAACCAAGCTTCAATTTATTTTTTACTCAATAGGCAAGCTTCAATTTTAATTCCAAACTGAGGAAAGTAATATTTACCCAATAAATAAATCAGAATAAAGACTTTATTTTGTATGTTGCAATCGGATCTTTAGATATATCTATATTTTTTATTCAGTTGTGTTTCGATTTTTTGTAATTGGTTATTTTGCATTTTTTTATATTTAATATAATGCTATATAGGGTGTTTCTGCAGAAACGCAAACGATATGGATTTGAAATTTTAATAGCATATACATTAATATAGCATATAAATTTGATTTAAACTATACCTAAAGTCAATAGTTTTCAAGATATTAATTTTTTTCGTTAAAATTTTGCTAAATGCACTTTAATCAAAAAAGCCTCTAATTTTTTTGTTATTATGTTCGCTGATATGGGGTTTGAATTTTTTGAATATTAAAACATTGTTTAAATAATTTATTTTTTTAAAGGTTTTTCAACAAATACTTTAGAAAAACCACTTCAAACAAAACTAACGTTTTTATTATAAATGTAAAACCATGTATGTTTTAACATAATAGAACATTAAAGAATCTTTCGATTGGTATTATAATAACTGTTTCCTAAAGTAAAAATTTCAGAGACTTTTAACAATTTCTAATAATTTCAATACAATTTTGTATCAAAAAATCTTTAAAATTCTACATGTGGTTACCACCAAATCTGTCATTTTTTAACATTAATTAAAATATTTGATTGAAAAATTAATAACTCAAAAAATATTGACTTTAGGTATAGGATATGGTATAGCCATTTTACTCAGAATTTTATGTAATCTATGTATCAAAATTTGATATATTAACTTTTTTAATAATATTTAATAATAAGTAGTCAAATATCAATACTGAGGAGATCTGCAAATACCCCTTCTACTAAACAATCCGTGGGTTATTAGGATCCTAATTGTTTAAAATAAATGTATTTAAAAAGTCATGTACCGTAAAATGGGGTGAATAGGGAAATTTTGGAGTTTTGAGAAGCTATAAGTTTATAGGATTAAGTGCTAAAAATTTTTCGTTTGCGTAGAAATATGAGTTAAGACTAGTACTATCATCTTACAATGCCAAACTTTATACAGGGTGATTTCCTTAGCTTATATATATTTTTTTATTTACTGATCCTATTCATCAGAATCGGCCGTATTACTTTTACTCTGATCGCTTTCGCCGAGCTACTGGGGTCAATAGGATCAACATTTATTGTTTAAAAAAAATATTTTAATAACTAGCGAGCTAAATTCCTTTGTGTAGTGTATACAGTATTCAGTTTTGTTAAAAGTTTTAACACACTTAAAACTAACAGGAACTTTATTAAAAAAAAAAAAAATATAGAATTCTTTGGCAAAATAAAAAAACAAAGAACATTTCTTTGGTAAAAAATATTATAAAAAAATAACTTTAAAAGTACAAAAAGTTAACAGAAAATTTAAAATACCCTCGCAGATATTTTACGGGTGGAACCACTTTTCCCACAACTTGATCAAATGGAAACTCTGAAATTTCTTCTCTATCAGGAAATTGAAAAACGTTTCCCGAAAAATCCCTCGTTTGTTTTTCGCGAAGAAAATTTCCGTAAAATTCTGTTTCAGTCTTATTCACCACTTGGCATAAATAAAAACGAAAGCTACAGCTTAAATTTGCTCTCCTTGTTTCTGTAGGAAAACCCACCAAAAGCCAATCTCTGATTTTAATTTCATCTCTTAAGACTGAGCTTACACTTTTAAACGTCTTTCCATGTTTGGTAAGAACATTGCTATCACGGCTAGGCGTTTTTAAGTTTGATTCTTCGAACTCAATTGGTGAATCATCGGAAAATTCATCATTTTTTGCCCCGGGTGATGAAAACTCAAGGTCTTCATGAGTTTGTGAGTTACTTTCTGACTCGGAAGTTTTTTCATGACGAACGCTTGAACCTTCAATTTCTTCCCAGATTTTTTCTTTTTAAGGACCGTCACCATAGCGCATTTGCTTTAACAGGTCGCAAAATGATGACTCTAGATTGTTGTCAACACGCTGATTTTCCTTTTCATTATTATAGTCTACTTTTGGTATCATGGAAAGTACTTTGTCCCTATTAATTGGAATCAACCCAGCCTTGCAAAATCCAGAACTTATGTTTTTTTCTGCATTGGGCTCAATTTCCTTGATGAGTTTTAATAGAAGCCGGGGGAAAATACTTTTGGGGATTGAGGGCTCTTTCATTCCTGGGCCCTGTTTCCAATCTCGCAAAATTTTACGCCAGGCAACCTTTAAAGGTCTAAAGAATGCAATGTCAAGCGGTTGAGTAATGTGTGTCGAGTTCCCTGGGAGAAAAACGAATCTTATATTATGTGCAGTACAAAGCAAAATAATTTCCTCCGATAAGTGAGGCGACAGGTTGTCTTCAATCAAAACTTTATCGCCATCTAGTTTTTGCAGATATGGAATCGCTACGGTTTTTAACCAATCTGTAAACGTTAGATTGTCAAACCAACCACTAATCATAGCATTATACCTTGAATATTTCGGACCTCCTTCAATCCAAGTGGAATGAACATTTGTAGCTTTATAAATAACATAGCAAGGTAATAATTTTCCATCGCCTGTTGCTGCAAACATTATTGAAACTGCTGATTTTGTCTGATTCATAACCCTCTCGGGGTATTTACATCCCCGTTTTGCAATAATTTTATTTATTTATTTATTTTATTTTATTTCTGGGTCGTTACTTAAATTAGTCTCATCATAATTTATGATGTGACTTGCGGGAATGTTTGCTAAAGAGACTTTCAAGTTATCGAAATATGCGTTAATGGCTTCAGGAGACACTCCAGCCCTGGCGCGTTTAATATTTTGACATAAACGAACAGCCAGTTTACTTTTATGCCTTTTCATAAACCCATAACCAAATTCCTTACCTGGCATATTGTCTTTGAATTTGGAAATTGTTTTGCCTAGTCGATCTAGATATAATTTTATTATTAGGCGTTATGCAGATAAAAAGGACCATAGAGTCTAATTGTCAGGCTTCGAGCCTACCCAACCGTACTACTATTAGGCGTAATCCATACAAATCTAATGGATATCCCCATTCTGCGCACAACTGTAATTTACGTACGATCGCATCTCCTTCAATATCGGTAAGCACAGTTTGTCCCCCATGCTTTTTTACCCTTGTAAGATGTTTTATTATTCTTTGTAAGGGGATTTTAAACTCAAGAGCAGCCTTTCTAATGCTTAGACCTTTTGCAACTGTATCCCTAGCCTTTAAAATGATGTCAGAGTTTGCGTCATAATTTTCGTACCGCTTAGAACGGGGATCAGGTTTGTAAACACGTGGCATCGCTGTTTTTTCGCCGTCTTTCGATGATCCGATTCACCCCACGACCTTCGGCAACAGGTGGTTATCAGATTCAATCTAGGATAAAACAAAAACGGCAAATCTTTTAAAATTTTCCTTTTAGAGAGGACTAACTAGATGTCTAACAGTCACAAAAAAAATTACTTACTTGTTTCTTTAGATCTTGTCATCAGCAGCGTTCAACTTATTATAGCATAAAAAACGGTTACTTTTGCATTTTATGTTATGTTACACTGATGCGTTGTTGTCAGGTCTACTAGTTGAAATATTCAGGAAAGTAATCTATTAGCACTATAACTATAAGTCCGTGACCACAAACAGTCTTTTTTTAAATACGTTTAGGCAGTAATATTTTTAAATGGTCGAGTCACTTTCGACCCTATTCTCCCCAGTGATTCTATTCACCCCATTTTAAATAAAAAATAACATTTAAATTTAGCGCGAAGTTGAAATGTATTTGACGTAACTAGTGCCGAACGATTGGATAGACGGACACTCCTGTTTAGGTGGGAAAAGAAAGGGGGGAAGAATACGGCCTTCAAAACGGGCAGTGAAGAACGGGGATCATTCGAGAAGAGCCCGTGCAGCGACAAGAGGTGTAAAATTGTTTGTGAGGAAATAGTGGCGTAAATTTGTAGGTTTTACTTTTTAATAAATAAATTATTGTAGTTTAAATATTCTCGAACATTTTAATAAACCACGCCAGTAATCGACATGAAATAAATTTGCCTTTGAACTATTTCGTATTATAATTTAGATTCCAAGTTATAAACAATTGGTACTTAATTTTCTTGAATACGGGATTTATTAAATTGTACTCGCAGATTCACATTTATGTCCCATAATTAGTTAAGTGATTTTTTACCAGTCATATTAATTGTAATTGTGCGATAGCGACATTATCATATTCATCTGAATGCGCAACGCAGGCATTGCCTTTTGTGATTTGGTCAAATTATTACCTAGTATTTTATGGTAATTATTAAGTTATTAAAGTTTGCCGACTAATGAGGCATAATGGGCAATTGCGGACCCTCAATTGGAATGATCTCGAAGCCCTTTTCTAACAGTTGATTGAGCCTGAACTCTAATAAATATTACATGAAAGTGTATGTAACAGTAAAACTTAAATTTAACAGTAAATAATTATATTGGATGATGGCCTATTGTATATGGACAAACAAATAAGCAAACAAACAAAGAAACAAATTAAAATTGAAAACGAGGAACACATGGTGTATTATTTATCTAAGGGTATTTGTATATTTATTTAGTTATATTATATGTGTGTGTGGTCGCAGTAAGGAGATATTGTGTGGTTCTAAGGGTTTGTAGGATGTCCCTTTCTTTCAAATTTCTCTTCAAAAAATAAGTTAAATGTCGTTTGGGTCGCGGTTATTGTTCTTGCTCTATCCAAATAAATATCATTATTGTTTGTTATAAATTTTAAATATTTTATACGTTTAACACTCTCCCATAATCTCTCATTTTGGAAGGTTTTATGAGCGATATTTATATAAAAATAAACGGGAGCCTTCCGGGTGTTTGACCTGAGTTCAGACGTAATTTATTGTCTTTTATTTACTGTAATTATTATTTACCTTTTAATACTTTACCCGTGAATACAACACCTCAAAAGTACCTTGGGTTACTAAATTAATGAGCTTTATTACCGTAAGTATTTATTTTATTTATTTGTCGTAATTTAATATAAATAACATTTGTCGTGGTGTTATATTTCATTTATAACTTGGGGTATAACTTTTACAGATTCTTTGCTGGAGGGGGGTTTGTACGCTTACAATAATTTCAAGTGTTATACTCAAATTTATAAAACAAAGTTGCTTTTTCAATTATTTACCCTTTAAAAATTGTTAAATTTTAAACTAAATTATCACCAGCACCCAATCTAATTAATTGTCATTAGTAAGATCTATATTTTGTCCAAATTTCAAATCGATACGTTTTGAAATAAAAAATGAAATTTTCAACACACTGAAGAAAAAAATAAAAATAAAGACAAAGTTGTCAATGAACAAGGTTTTTTTTTTTGAAAAAAATACTGCATTTAGATGTAGAAATAAGTTAAAAAAGTTTCAAACGATTTCTTGAACCCGTGCAAATCGACCGTTCGATCTTTTCGCGAAACCGTAGTTAATACGTCCACGTATTATACGAATTGTCAACTTTAGGTTACATAAATTTCTGTGGTTTGCCTTTATAAAAATCAAAAACTGTCATAATATGCATTTTATTTAAAAGCCACTAAAAATCTCGTAAACACAATGAAAAAAAAACAATTCCAAAACATTTGGTATACAATAGAAAACAAACAAAATGATTTATTATAAAAAACATCTACATATTAATATGCCTATAATAACCTTTTGGCTATCGTGGTCAAAATACGACGTTGCCAAATTTATATACTGTTATTATTTTGGATGAGGTTGCAATGAGTTATTTATTAAAAGTAAATAAAAGTTTATTTATAATAAAATGTATAAAAGCGACTTGACTCTATGCCGGGTACAGGCCAACTGTTTTACAAAAAGGTCCTTATTAAGTAAGAATACTGTCTTACTCTAAAGTAGCACTTGTGTGCATAAAACCATCTGTAAAAGGTTTTATGACACTTGTTTCACTACTATCTTATCTAACTAAGGGGTTGAGTTTTCTATAAGTATTATTGACATGTAAAGAACTGCAATTAATCTTAACACTCTCTCTAAAACTGGACCCTCAATAAACCATGTTAAATTATGACACATACAAGCAAACACAAAAATCTTAAAAGTACTTAAATAAAGAAACAAATAAAGTAATATCAATTAGCATAATCCTAACTTATTTCTAAGAATTTCAAACATTCGTTTGGCCAACGGTTTTGTAAAAATATCAGCTACCTGATATTCAGATGATACGTAACTAACGCTAATCTCATTCTTTAAGTACATATCTCTAATAAAATTATATCTAACATCAATGTGCTTAGTGCGTTGATGAAACTCAGGATTTTTTATAAGCTTAATAGCACTCATATTATCTATTAGTAAAACACTAGTTTCAAACACTTCTCTCTTTATTTCCGACAGTAAACGGTTTAGCCACACTAATTCTTTAACCGCACTAGCCGCACTTACAAATTCAGCCTCCGTTGTCGATTGGGCAACACATTGTTGTCTTTTACATTGCCAGGTGATCGCTGCTCCTCCGAATTTGCACACCATTCCCGACGTTGATTTCCTGCTTCCAGGATCTCCTGCGTAGTCTGCATCACAATAAGCCTCAAACGTATTGTCCTTGTTATAAAGTAGACCCATATGTTGCGTACCTTTTATATACCGCAAAATTCTCTTAACCAACTGACAATGCGCTACTGTTGGTTTATCCAAAACCCTTGAAGCCACATTAATAGCAAAGGCTAAATCAGGTCGAGTCACCATTTGTAGGTACATAATATTACCCACTGCCTCGCGATAAGGAAAATCGCCGATGTTCGATTTAGACTCATCGAAATTCCAACCGGTTGCTATTGGGGTACTAACTGGACTTGCTTCCAGCATATTAAACCGCTCTAAAACCTTCTGTGAGTACCTTTGTTGACTGGCAAATATTCCATTTTTAGTTTGAGTAATTTATATTCCCAAAAAATTGCTCACATTCGCCGTTGTTGTAGCTTCAAACTTTGTTTTTAACTGATTTAACAGCCCCACAGCTTCATCACTATTTGACGCAGCTATCAGTCCATCATCAACATACAACACCACTAAAAGTCTTTCATTTTTCGACTCTTTAAAATACAAACACGGATCCGAAGCACTTTCTTTTAAATTACAGTCCTTTAAAAATTCAGTAAAATGTTTGTTCCAACACCTCGGTGCTTGTTTTAACCCGTATAAACTTTTTATTAATTTACACACCTTTTGTGTCCCGTCTGTATAGCCTTCTGGTTGATGCATGTATACCTCTTCACTTAATGTCCCGTATAAAAATGCAGTCTTTATATCAAATTGGAATAAATGCATTCCTTCGCATGCCGCGAAACTTAACACTGACCTAACCGTATCAAACCGCACGACTGGACTAAATGTCTCTGTAAAGTCAATTCCTTCAATTTGAGAACACCCTTTAATCACTAATCTCGCTTTGTGTCGATTTATTGTTCCATCAGGTCTGTATGTTACGCGATAAACCCATTTATTTTTGATAATTTTCTTATTTTTGGGTCTATTTACCAAAACCCACGTTTTATTTTTCTTCAGTGACTCCATTTCCTCTTCCAGTGCTTTTACCCATTTTAAACAATTTTCCGATTTTATTGCTTCCGGATACGATTTCGGCTCATCTTTATTAGCCAACATAGCTATCGGACAGCCGTAAAAATCTGGCGGTTTCAATGACCCTCTGTCCCTTAAAACCATCTGTTCTGTTTCACCTTGCACTATTTCGCTTTCATTTTCTCTCTCTTCATTGTCAACCGATTCAACCTCTCTTGTCTGTTTGTTGTCAACATTATTTAAATCGTTGTTTGATGTTTGATGAATTGAGGTACTTGTAGCAACACATTCCTCCTTTTTAAATATAACGTCCCGACTAATAATTACATCTCTGATTTCTGGTACCCATATCCTATATCCACTATTACCTTCGTGATATCCAACAAAATAACCCTTTATGGATTTTTTATCCAATTTTCGTCTCTTTTCTTTGGGTATGTGTACAAAGCATTCAGTACCAAAGACTTTGTAGTCACTCATATAAGCTTGTTTTCCATACCAAAGCTCGTATGGCGTTTTCCCATTCACTTTTGAAGGCCCCGTTTTATTTATTACATAAACGGCGGTGTTTACAGCCTCCGTCCATAAAAATTTTGGTAAGTTTGGTTTTGAATACAGCATCGACCTAGCGGCTTCAACAATTGTCCTATTGTCTCTCTCTACTACACCATTTTGCTCCGGTGTATAGGGTACCGTCATCGCATGCTTTATTCCTCTCTTCCCCAGGATTTCAGTCACAATTTTATTATTGTACTCTTTACCGTTATCAGAGTTAATTGTTTTAATTTCACTCCCAAAACGCGTTTTTACTTTCGCACAAAAATGTTCTAATTTTGTAGCCACTTCCGATTTTTCGCGAATAAAGTAAACACTTCGAAATGAGCTATAAT